TGTGTGTGTGTGTGTGTTTTCTTATAGCTTTGGCTTTTGTTTGTTTCTGTTCGTCTTCTTTGTACTTTCGTTTGTTTGTGTGTTTATCCTTGTTTTGCTATATGTTCAACCTTTGTGTTCTTTTGTACCCTGTTCCTGTTGATTCCTAGTTCACTTGTGTTTTTGTGTGAATTTATGTGTATAAGGTTAGTTTAGGCTGTTGGGTACATCCTACACACTTAGTTGTTTTTGTATTAGTAACACTAGTTTAGTAGGGGTGAGTGCCGTTTGTCTTGTATGGTTTTGGGTAGTCAGTGGAGGTTAGCTAGGGTGTTAAAGACGTCGAAGACTGTGTGTTTCAGGTTTTCTTTTGCAATCAGGTTAGCTTTCAATCACTTTCCTAGCCAGCTCCATTTTGTTTGTTATTTTCTTTTCTTTGGCACCACTCTAGTTCCTTACCCCTGTGTGTTATCGTGTCTTACCAGTCATTTATTCAACTTAAAATCAGCACTTTTGCACCCACCCTTGTTATCATGCTTCCTAACCCCTCACCAGAACCCACCTGCTTCCAAAACTTATCCTAAATGTTACACTTCTTTACCCCTAGACACTTGGGGTCGTAACATTTTTGGGGGCTCGTCCGGGATATCAAATCTGCATAATTCCTCTCTTTTCCAATATATTTTCTGACAACTCACATGGTTTTTGAGTCCATCCTAGTGGAACTTTTTTGAATGCTTAGCCTAGATGGAACTACCTGTAGGACCTTATAATCAGAAGCTAATCTTCAGCCTCAGATACCATTTTTTAGGAATCCAATTTGGTAATATTTTGATTGAAACAAGTTGCAGCAAGACCACACTACACTACACAGTACTCAGGTGACCAAAACTTTGACCAAAACTCTACCACAGTCAAACTACAGTCTGGATCTTGCCCCATCCAATCTCCAATTTTTTAAAGAACTGATGTGTAACAGATTGTGGAACTCTTGTCAAAATAAAACAACAGCAGATGTTTACCAGCAGATTATAACCACCAAAATAATTAAATATTTTGTCTGTAACAACTTCAACAGATTCTGCTAAGAATTTAATATAGGAAAATGGACAGTAATGTCTTCTGGAGAAAGATAATTCCTTAGGACAGATTTCAAATCAGTCAAACTTTATAGAAGGGACACTCATATGCTGAATACAAGGGGTAAACTGCTGTATGCAACCTTTCAAAGACACATCTTCACTTTTTAGGTGCATTCCGTTTTTCTGCACAACAGTTTAGTGTTAACATTTACCTTTAAGTGCATAATCTGTAGAATGTCCCTTAATATTTTTCATGATAATAATAATTAATAATAAGAAAACATTTTACATTTTGACAGTTATGGAAATACATTTACTGTAATACTTAAGGATTTGTAAGATCAGTTTCAAAGGACTGATAAATTCACCTCTCGAGGTTCCTGACTGAACCTCAGATTACCAGGTCATTTTAATTCATTTTGCAACCTCTCAGGGTCCTAAATGTAACATGCTTAGACAGCTTGTCACAGACTTTTTCCATTATACTGTCTTTGCACAAGATGATGCTATTCAAATTGTCTCAAGTCAGACATTTTACAGATACTTATGGTTTAGAATCTTTCTTCAGAATTGCTGCTAAATTCAGGCTAAACCCATCAGGGAAAGACAGTGGTAACTAGGGAATATATTAATATTAAATACAACAATGTAACATCTGTCTGGCATTTAATTCCACTATCACTGTGTGTTTGTTTTGTTACAGTGGAAAAGACTTTCTCAAGCAAATATACTTCTTTTCAAAATTGCTTAAAATGCTAGAAAGTCAACCATATACTGTATGTAGGAGAAAAGCATATTATTTCACTCAGAACTAAGTAATATTAATGATTTAAAATAAACTTTGTGTTGCCTTGACCAAGCAGTTTGGTGCCTCTCTGTGTAAGGGCATAGTAATATGGCTAATATAACCCTCTGATAAGAGACTGATTAACTGTATCCGGTGCTGTACATTTAATTACATATCATGTAGATACAGTAGACTCCATTAAGTCTGTAGTCTGCTATCTTCCCAAAAACAAAGGTCCAAGGCCACTGTTCATCACCCAAAGTAACGGGGGATCTGATCTTCATGGTGGGTACCAGCACTATACCTTACGGAATCCTAACCAATCAAAAACGTGTAATGCTGGACCTTAAAAGTGAGAAACCAGCTCATTTTCAAAGGTTAACTCCTTATCTCTCTCTAGCTGAACTGGCAATCTGACTTTTCCATCCACATGACTACAAGCAGTCTAAGTATTTAAAACTTTTCTCTAAGACGCCATGCCAAGAGAGTGAGTCAGTAAAGTGCAGAATTCTGCCCAAGATAATTTTTCTGAAGCAGAAGAAATCTTTCTTTGCAGTCTCACTGTTACTTTCACTTGATCAACACATGATTCACTTGATCAAGACAGTTGGACAGTTTATGTTGACATCTTGAACATCTAAGCATATTCAGAGCCAAGCTATAACCGGGACAAACTGAGCTCCCCCCACCTGTCTACTCTGTGGCCCGACCCAGCAACACAAACTATTATTTCAATACTGAAGTTCACCAACACTAATTTTGTCAGAGCTGCCTAAGGGTCAATACTAGCTGCAAAGCCCAATGCAAAGCAAAGCTCTCACCCTCTTTCTCTCTCTCTGTTCCCAGACTGATAAAACCTTACAAGGTGGACCATTACACATTATAGTCTAACTAATTTTAACTCTGAAGTTATTAACTGTTCTCCTTGTAATCCCTGAGTGAACGATCAATTTTTTTGACCACAGCAGATCATCTCACAAATATTTTCTATTATGCCTGTTCTTTGTTATGCATGTTTGAGTTTTATAGCAATAAATTGTATTTTGTATATTTACTGTAGAATCCCTGTGTGGGACTATAAATTAATATGTTTGATTGATTCCAAAAAGTCATCAAGTACTGTACTCTTGCAATTTACCATTACAATTTCTGATAATTGCAGTAAATTAAAAAAAGCATTCTGTTATTACTGTTTTCATTATTAACAAAAATGAAAATGAAAAATCCTACAAAAAACTTCATAAAGATAATGGATTAGTAATGGAAAATGTGTAATGCTATATTTTTATTGTTCTTTCCAGCAAATCATTTTAATGAATAATTATTTGGGGAGACTGAGTATGCCAAACAGCAATATAGAAACAAGACATTAAAACATAAAAAAGTCATATCCACAAATGTTATTACATAGTATTTTAAGGTGAAGTGATATTAGAGTGGATATCTAAATTCTGCTGATTCTTTACAAAGATATAATATGTGAGTCCTGGTATGACTTGATTTTAAGTAAAACATGTCAGAATAGTAGAATTAATATTCTGGAAGTACAGATGAGGAAAACCTGCCCTTTACTGCTACAGAAACCATACTTATGTTTTTTAAATTTTTTCAATCCCAGCATTCTTTTAACTAATCTTTTGGTATTATGCATTTAATACAAAGATTTCCTGCCACCTTTTTTTAAACTAAGTTTTCATCTGTCTTATCTGTTATCTGTTTCTAGAGAAACAGAGAATACACATTCAGATAATCTGTTTTGCCCTAATTGGAGACATCTTCTCTCACTTCTTGAGTATGTCATTAATTGTCATTTAGTCTGAAACTACATCCCATGTGCATCTTGTTTGTTAAAAAAAGAAAAAAGATGGCAAAGCATATTGTACTTGGGATATTTTTCAAATGTCAAAAACCATTCTTCTATAAAACTGCAACAATTAAGAAGTGACATCACTTTAAAACAATATTTTACAAAGTAGACACCGGATAGCTGTCAGAAGCGATCTTTGAGCTGCTTGGAAGGGTTGACAGCTATACAATTGTTGACACATACCCACAGTGTGTCAGCATTGTTTTGCTAAATTTGTTTTTAGCATAATACTCAGAAAGACCAAAGAGTATTTCATGTATTAATCTCAAGTATAGTATGTCTCCATACACATTTAAAGAGCTTTTACAAATAATTTAATGTACACATTTATTAACAGCTTATAATAGGTCACTACAAAAGGTCTATGGTAAAATTAAAAACGTACAATTAGAGCTGATTTTTGATCCCTATGAAAAGAGTTGTATGTAAATATTTGCAGTTTAGAATTAAAGGGTAAACTTGGCCGACGACTGAAGTCTGAGATGGGACATTTATTGCTATCCTTATTGTTTGAGTTTTTAATCCTCTATTCACTGAATTAAATTGATTTTCAGATCTTTCATTGGGAACACATTACTTTCTTTTTCACAAAATGATGGAGAAGTTGCAGACCTCTTCTCCAGCAGCTGAAGGAGAGAGTCGTTGATCCCCAAAGTGGTATAGCCTGCTTTTAAATCAGCAGAGAGTTTGGTTTGCATTTAGTGCTTGAGGTAACCCACGATAAAATTCCTCAGCAAGCAGAACTGTGCCTCGTACAGCCATGGTTGGTGCCGTCGTGAGTTATCACAGGTAATAACCAGTGTCTGCAGTTGCAGCCTGTTTGGTTAGAAATGCTTGTCTCCAGTGCCCACGAGATTGTCCTAACTATTCTGGCATCTTAAGTGAAATCTGCTAGAAAGAACAGGTAAGGTACAGTATATATCCTAACTAATAAAAATGTGCCAAAGATTCATCTGACATTTTAAACAAGGGTTTGAAAACAATCACATCTGCACTATAAAATCCATTCAACTGCAAACTATTAAAAGTGATTGAAAAGTACCAAAATAGTTTTGCTATCATAAGTTAATAAAGTAATAAAGTACTGTAACGCATACGGCGGACACTGCAGGTTGTTTGAGCCAGCACAGTGACGTCCCTGCCCTTCCCTGTGAATAGCAGGGACCTCAGCCGCCAGGCTGAAGGGAGATTACCCATGTGAACCCAAGAGCGCTATAGTACAATACATTACAGGAGTGAATGACTTTGGTATTAGCTATAAATTCCTACAGAACACTTACTCTGCAGTTGCTCAGCTCCTCTGCTTTGACGATGATAGTTCCACATTTTTTACCAGGGATTCCACTGTTGAGAAAAAAACATTAGCATGAAATTTTAAATCTCTTAAAATGATCTAAAAAAAAGGCACTACCTAACCCACATGAAGACAACAGGGGCCATTTCTAAAATTTAGAAGTATTTTTTCTTCTGAATGAACATTAACTTAGATCAACCGATTAGAAAACATATAACATAAAGATCAAGTAAATAACAGTTTTTATTTTAGGCTTGAAATGTCTAAACACAAATATTGTTGTGGCATTAAACAACATCTGGGAAATAACACAGTTAGACCTGAAGCAATGCATTGTGTTGTAGTACAGTTTACCAAATGTACGTGTCTAATAATTTACATAAATGTACATAAATCTAATAATTTGTGAGAAAGTGTGGAGGTGCTGTTTTTCAATATGTATTCTAGGAGGTCTACGCAAACTCCAAAGTATTGAAAAGGCTTTTTACACCTGACATTCCACTCACTGGCCTCCCTGCAATCACAGATAGAACTGAGTTTTAAGAAAAAGTACATTCTGTCTGAGAGATTAGGAAGATTAAAGGAACCCTGAAGGCACAAACCCAGAGGCAGACTAGTTGAGTGCAAGGATGCTGCTGATTGACTCCTGCTGCAAACCCTTGTCAAAAAAACTTCACTTCCAGCTTTGTCTTACAGTCTAGATTCAGTGCAGTGAAAGTTAATATTTTTGATACATAATGTAAACTAAACTTATTCTGTACTTTTATTAAGTGTATATTTAAATGTAGCTCATATGTTTTGTAGTATAAAAAACTATGTGTTACATGCAAAAGGTGCATTATATTCCATTGTATTTAGTCAAGAGTACAATACAGTTTTTTTTTTTCATTGAGTTTACAAAGCATCTAGACTTTGCAGTGATACTTATAACTGTTATGTGTGTTATCCACATTAAGGCATTGCAGTATTTTAGCAATAAAGGGCAATGTGAATTCCAATACATGTTGGCCAATACTGTTTGTTAATATTTTAAAGAAAATCAATTTAACATACTAGATAACATCACTTACATTTTGTTCAACGTATTTATTTTTACCAAAGTTTCCAAGATTTCTCATTCTTCAGACAGATATCTAGTCACTTGTCATGTACAGTAGCTATTATTAGTTTTAAAATATATTCCAAAGACAGAATGAGTTTACTGGTTTTGTCGTGAGACTTCAGCTGCAGTGTGTCACAGACAGAATTCACCATCATCAATTCATCCAATTTCTTTACCACTTTTTTCATTTAACACTAGTGGTCTTGGGTGGTCAAATCTATTAGGTATTGATAAAATATATAAATCTTAAACCGCATTTATTATTTTAAGTATTAAAATATTTAAGAATAAAAGATGACAGAAATTGTTTCCAATGTAACGTGAAAAAGCTTAAGGTTTAGGACTGTTAGGTACTTTGTTTTGTTAATTATCACAGAAAGTTTTTTTTAAATAAAAAGTAATGATCTATGAATACATATAACTTGGAAATTGTTTGACTATTGTCAAAATAAAATACAATTACTGGGGCTTCTGAGTGGTTCAATCAGTAAAAGCACTTCTTTAGCACACAGGTTAAGTTTAGCAGTCACTGCTAGTTTAAATTAAGGCTTTTACTAGCTAACTGTGATCCTTTCTTCCCATATAGTCTCAGACTAGTCAAGGACAGCTGGAATTTGGTGGGTTTGAATTGAATATTCAGTTAGATGAGGAAGAGCGGACAACATCAACCGTAAACAGCAGAGATGCAGCCCTCCCATCCCAAAACTGGATACACTCCAATCCTTGGCTGTGTTTTGATATCCTGTCCATTAAGATTATGAACAGAAGAGGAGATAAGATGCACCCTTGACACAGTCTGACGTCAACCCTGACGAGAATACAGATACAACTGTTGCTCCGCTAATGCAGGGACCAGAAGGCACACAGCAGAGGCCCTGGCGCACCATACTCCCGCAGCACCTCCCACAAGATACCCCAGGGTACACAATCATAAGCATTCTCCAACTCCACTAAGCATGTGTAGACAAGACTGGAAAGGAGTTGGTCTACTTCCACGGCAAGGGAGGAATCCACATTATTTCTCCTGTTTGAGGCTCCCACTATTGGGCAGAGTCTCCTTTCCAACAACCTGGAATAGGCTTTCCTGAGGAAGTTGGATCACACCCTCTGGTCTCCCTTTTTAAAAATGGGGACCAACACCCCAATACGCCAGTCCAGAGGTACTATTCCTGCCTTACATGCAACATTGACAAGGTGTTTATCCAAAACATCCCAATGATGTCCAGCACCTTCTGTGTTTCACATCTTCAGTGGGACCAGATCTCATCCTTCCCTGCAGCCCTACCACAATGGAACTGGTAGTAAGTCAGATGAAGCAAAGTGGACAAACTCATCTGCAAACAGAAGAGATGCAACCATCTATAACACAAGAGGCGTAACCATTCCCACAAGAGATCTCCGGCACCAATTGGAGATGTACAAAGCCTGGTGTGATGCAGTTGGGAAGATAGTCAGCACCTTTAAAAAGAGTGGATTGTTCTCTCCCAGTGAGGGGGGAACAGCTGCCGCAGGTGGAGGATTTTAAGTACCTCGGGGTCACAAGACTGACCACTGCATTTGGTACTGCATTGTCAGTAATGCAAGTTTTCAGAAAAAGCTCGTGGTTTTTTGATCCATCTGTGGTCACAAGCTTTGGGTTGTGTCAGAAAGAATGAGATTGTAAGTACAAGTGCAAGAAAGAGATTTTTTAATAGGGCTACTGGACTTTCTCTCCATAACAGGGTGAGGAGCTTGGCAATCTGGGAGGACCTACTGTAGGAGTACAGTCAATGCTCCGCTGGACTGAGAGGAGCAGGTCTGAGGTGTTTTGGGCATCTCATGAGTATACTCCCCCCCCCTAGGTGGCTCCAACTGAAGGTATACCAGGCACAAGCCCCTGGGAAGGGACACCAGGGAACAGACCTAAGACATGCTGGAAAGATTATATCTCTTAGCTGGCTTGGGAATCCCCCTGTCATTGGAGAAAGCAAAGTGGTCTACCCAGCTCAGTCTGTTACCACTGTGACACTCACTAGTAATAAGTGGTTAGAATGTAAATAGATGGATGGGTGAACTGAATAGTCTATCATGGCCAATCAGAACAGATAGATGTGAGCATTTATACAATGAAAGTGTTTTAAATGTCTTTTAAATAAGAAACAAGTAAAATCCTGATGTGAGTAATTTTAGTTAGTACAGGTGGTGCAGAATGACACATATCTGAGTATGGCAAGTATTTCCTTTTCTAGGGCTGCCCCAGTGTTCACAAGTCAAAGTGTTACACAGACCAAAGATAATTCAGGGATAGTTCTGATTATTAAGTCAAGTTGTGAGGTATGTTTCACATCCTTAGTTTATATACCAGCAGGAGATTTGAGGCTGAACACATAGAACACACAGTTGACTGCTTCATAAAGTTTACTTTTAGCAATCCAACATGGTAGAGTAGTGTCTTACATTTGGTATAATTGGAACGATTTTAGTTTGTGTTGATTGCCAGTTAATTATGACACCTGATTGCACTTTAGTTTCAAATAATGGCAAACACCTGGTTAGCAGAAGTTTAAATACAGAGTGGTGAGCTCCAAAAGCACTTCACTATGGGATTCATAGGGAGAGAATTGCAGCACTTCACCCTAATTAGATACAGCAATCAAAAAAATACTCCTGAAGCTTTTCAAAATATGGTGAAGCTAGTATTCACTATCTTACTTCACTGGGGCAACATGACAATTAATTAATTTATATACTGTATATAAATTATCTTTGCAAACGGTGTTGGTCCTCAGTTTGTATAGTCATATTCATTATATCTCTCCAACACATTATAACAACATTTGTAAAATTTCAAAGCAATTTTTACACATACTTTTAGATATTGTCAAAAAAGTAGGACCATTACAACTACTTAATTAATTTACCCTAATGTGAAATTAGCTTTGTCCTTAAAGAGTAAAGAGCACTCAAATAAATCAAGCAGCTCTCATCATGGATTAGGTGCTGAGAAACACCAGCATTGTATTAATCAGAGTATTTTGATTTATATTACAGCAAATATGCTAAGAAACTGAAAATGTCCTTTGAAGTTATCAATATTATCAATCACACCAGTACAAGTCACCTGTGACTTTCTGGAGTTGATTGAAGATTTATTTATACTTTACTGCATCGTCGCATCCTAGGAGATTTCTATTTGTATTTCTGTCATAATCTTCAGAGCACAATAAGGATTAAGTAAAGCAAATTAAGTACGTTATTTCTTGAAAAAAATGTAAAAGCAACAAAAATAAAACTAATACAGAAAAGAATATTAAATCACAGAAAGTCTTAGTTTTACAGCACGTTATACACCTCATATCCCAGGCAATTGTTCCGTATTCTAAGTGTTTACTCTCATTACTTGATAGAAAGTTTAGTCTGCTGTATTTTTCAAAACATTTATTACAAAATATTAATTTAAATTTAAGAAGTATTTTGATTCAGGGCACAGATTTAGATGACAGTTTGCTTGCAAACCAGTATTTCATTATGCAGGAGCTATTAAAAAACCTTATAATAATAATTTTAATAATTGCTTACACTTATATAGCGCTTTTCTGGACACTCCACTCAAAGTGCTTTACAGGTAATAGGGACTCCCCTCCACCACCACCAATGTGCAGCATCCATCTGGATGGATGTGTATACTGTATATAGTAAACTATTGCAGGGGATTCGGGTAAGGGTGTATTTTGTTTTGTATGTAATATTCAATAACATTAAACAATTCAAATGAATGTGTATTTTTATATAAAATCATTTGTTATACTTTCAGCATACATTCATGAATGCTAGAATTTGTGCCAATCACATTTTGAAGTTCTACATTTTCACCAACAGCTGTTCTGTAATACAAATTGCTCCTCTGGAAATATCAGTTTTTGGATCTTCAGATGTCTGTTGATTATTTCTGTAGACTCTCCTGGAAGT